TGGGATTAAAGACTCATAAAGACTTCACTTGTTTCATTACTGGATGAATCAGCACTTTTGAATGTATTTCCTGAGTGAATGATTCAATGACTCACTCATAAAGACTTCACTTGTTTCACAAAGACAAACACACTTTATTTAACTCTCACTTGTCGCCACCTACTGGTGTAACGCTGTAACATACAATCTTTTCAAGTTACTTTCAAAAGGTGATTTACTCTATTTTGATTGCTACCACCATATGCATCAGTTTTTATATAATAATGTGTAAACTCGTGTGTGTGTGTGTGTATCCGTAGGTCTTTCGGAAGGCCAGGACAGTTGCTCCGTCTATAATTTTCTTTGATGAGATTGATGCTTTAGCAGTGGCAAGAGGAAGGTAACAACAGAATCATCAATGACTTTATTACTTAAGCACCGTGTGTGTGTGTGTGTGTGTGTGTGTGTGTGTGAGAATCTCAAACACTGAGCCATAAAATGTGTTTTTATTTGTTTGGCTCTTTGCTTATTTAATTAATAAAGTGCATAGTGTTTTAAGCTTCTGACAGGAATCACACACACACACACACACACACACACACACACACACACACACACACACACACACACACACTCTCACACACACACTTCAGTGTAAATCTGAAGCTGGTTTGTTCTGCTGAGTCAGAGATTCATTTACTGGATTGAATTCTGAATGACACATTGATTAACTGATGAATGTATTTGCCTTTAATCAATCCACACACACACACACACACACACACACACACACACACGCTGATCTGTCGTTCTGCAGAATCATCAATTAATCTGAAACCTTATTCAGCAGAACCTGCCTAGCAACACCCTAGAAACCACATAGCAATGCCCTAGCAACCCCTGAGTACTGTACTGTGCCTGGCTAATGTTAACCCCGCTGACCGCTCGTGGTGTTGTGTTGTGTTGTGCAGTTCTCAGGCGGGGGGTGTTGTGTTGTGCAGTTCTCAGGCGGGGGGTGTTGTGTTGTGCAGTTCTCAGGCGGGGGGTGTTGTGTTGTGTTGTGTTGTGCAGTTCTCAGGCGGGGGGTGTTGTGTTGTGCAGTTCTCAGGCGGGGGGTGTTGTGTTGTGTTGTGCAGTTCTCAGGCGGGGGGTGTTGTGTTGTGTTGTGTTGTGCAGTTCTCAGGCGGGGGGTGTTGTGTTGTGTTGTGTTGTGCAGTTCTCAGGCAGGGGGTGTTGTGTTGTGCAGTTCTCAGGCGGGGGGTGTTGTGTTGTGTTGTGTTGTGCAGTTCTCAGGCGGGGGGTGTTGTGTTGTGTTGTGTTGTGTTGTGCAGTTCTCAGGCGGGGGGTGTTGTGTTGTGTTGTGTTGTGCAGTTCTCAGGCGGGGGGTGTTGTGTTGTGTTGTGTTGTGCAGTTCTCAGGCGGGGGGTGTTGTGTTGTGTTGTGTTGTGCAGTTCTCAGGCGGGGGGTGTTGTGTTGTGTTGTGTTGTGCAGTTCTCAGGCAGGGGGTGTTGTGTTGTGCAGTTCCCAGGCAGGGGGTGTTGTGTTGTGCAGTTCTCAGGCAGGGGGTGTTGTGTTGTGCAGTTCTCAGGCAGGGGGTGTTGTGTTGTGCAGTTCTCAGGCGGGGGGTGTTGTGTTGTGTTGTGTTGTGCAGTTCTCAGGCGGGGGGTGTTGTGTTGTGTTGTGCAGTTCTCAGGCGGGGGGTGTTGTGTTGTGTTGTGTTGTGCAGTTCCCAGGCGGGGGGTGTTGTGTTGTGTTGTGTTGTGCAGTTCTCAGGCGGGGGGTGTTGTGTTGTGTTGTGTTGTGTTGTGCAGTTCTCAGGCGGGGGGTGTTGTGTTGTGTTGTGTTGTGCAGTTCTCAGGCGGGGGGTGTTGTGTTGTGTTGTGTTGTGCAGTTCTCAGGCGGGGGGTGTTGTGTTGTGTTGTGTTGATGTTGTGTTGTGTTGTGCAGTTCTCAGGCGGGGGGTGTTGTGTTGTGTTGTGTTGTGCAGTTCTCAGGCGGGGGGGTGTTGTGTTGTGTTGTGCAGTTCTCAGGCGGGGGGTGTTGTGTTGTGTTGTGTTGTGTTGTGTTGTGCAGTTCTCAGGCGGGGGGTGTTGTGTTGTGTTGATGTTGTGTTGTGTTGTGCAGTTCTCAGGCGGGGGGTGTTGTGTTGTGTTGTGTTGTGCAGTTCTCAGGCGGGGGGTGTTGTGTTGTGTTGTGCAGTTCTCAGGCGGGGGGTGTTGTGTTGTGTTGTGTTGTGTTGTGCAGTTCCCAGGCGGGGGGTGTTGTGTTGTGCAGTTCTCAGGCGGGGGGTGTTGTGTTGTGTTGTGTTGTGCAGTTCTCAGGCGGGGGGTGTTGTGTTGTGTTGTGCAGTTCTCAGGCGGGGGGTGTTGTGTTGTGTTGTGTTGTGCAGTTCCCAGGCGGGGGGTGTTGTGTTGTGTTGTGCAGTTCCCAGGCGGGGGGTGTTGTGTTGTGTTGTGCAGTTCTCAGGCGGGGGGTGTTGTGTTGTGTTGTGCAGTTCTCAGGCGGGGGGTGTTGTGTTGTGTTGTGTTGTGTTGTGCAGTTCCCAGGCGGGGGGTGTTGTGTTGTGTTGTGCAGTTCTCAGGCGGGGGGTGTTGTGTTGTGTTGTGCAGTTCTCAGGCGGGGGGTGTTGTGTTGTGTTGTGTTGTGCAGTTACCAGGCGGGGGGTGTTGTGTTGTGTTGTGCAGTTCTCAGGCGGGGGGTGTTGTGTTGTGTTGTGTTGTGCAGTTCCCAGGCGGGGGGTGTTGTGTTGTGTTGTGCAGTTCTCAGGCGGGGGGTGTTGTGTTGTGTTGTGTTGTGCAGTTCTCAGGCGGGGGGTGTTGTGTTGTGTTGTGCAGTTCTCAGGCGGGGGGTGTTGTGTTGTGTTGTGTTGTGCAGTTCCCAGGCGGGGGGTGTTGTGTTGTGTTGTGCAGTTCCCAGGCGGGGGGTGTTGTGTTGTGTTGTGCAGTTCTCAGGCGGGGGGTGTTGTGTTGTGTTGTGCAGTTCTCAGGCGGGGGGTGTTGTGTTGTGTTGTGTTGTGCAGTTCCCAGGCGGGGGGTGTTGTGTTGTGTTGTGCAGTTCTCAGGCGGGGGGTGTTGTGTTGTGTTGTGCAGTTCTCAGGCGGGGGGTGTTGTGTTTATGTTGTGTTGTGTTGTGTTGTGTTGTGCAGTTCCCAGACGGGGGGTGTTGTGTTGTGTTGTGTTGTGTTGTGTTGTGTTGATGTTGTGCAGTTCTCAGGCGGGCGGTGTTGTGTTGGTGTTGTGTTGTGTTGTGTTGTGTTGTGTTGGTGTTGGTGTTGTGTTGTGTTGATGTTGTGTTGTGCAGTTCCCAGACGGGGGGTGTTGTGTTGTGTTGTGTTGATGTTGTGTTGATGTTGTGTTGATGTTGTGCAGTTCTCAGGCGGGCGGTGTTGTGTTGGTGTTGTGTTGTGTTGTGTTGGGTTGATGTTGTGTTGTGTTGATGTTGTGTTGATGTTGTGTTGTGTTGATGTTGTGTTGTGTTGATGTTGTGTTGATGTTGTGTTGATGTTGTGCAGTTCTCAGGCGGGGGGTGTTGTGTTGGTGTTGTGTTGTGTTGTGTTGTGTTGGTGTTGTGTTGTGTTGATGTTGTGTTGTGCAGTTCCCAGACGAGGGGTGTTGTGTCGTGTTGTGCAGTTCTCAGGCGGGCGGTGTTGTGTTGGTGTTGTGTTGTGTTGTGTTGGTGTTGTGTTGGTGTTGTGTTGTGTTGTGTTGTGCAGTTCTCAGGCGGGGGGTGTTGTGTTGTGTTGTGCAGTTCTCAGGCGGGCGGTGTTGTGTTGGTGTTGTGTTGTGTTGGTGTTGTGTTGTGTTGTGTTGATGTTGTGTTGTGCAGTTCCCAGACGGGGGGTGTTGTGTTGTGTTGTGTTGTGTTGATGTTGTGTTGATGTTGTGCAGTTCTCAGGCGGGCGGTGTTGTGTTGTGTTGTGTTGATGTTGTTTTGTGTTGATGTTGTGTTGTGTTGTGTTGATGTTGTGTTGATGTTGTGTTGTGTTGTGTTGTGTTGTGTTGATGTTGTGTTGTGTTGATGTTGTGTTGATGTTGTGTTGATGTTGTGCAGTTCTCAGGCGGGGGGTGTTGTGTTGTGTTGTGTTGTGTTGATGTTGTGTTGATGTTGTGCAGTTCTCAGGCGGGCGGTGTTGTGTTGTGTTGATGTTGTTTTGTGTTGATGTTGTGTTGATGTTGTGTTGATGTTGTGTTGTGTTGTGTTGTGTTGATGTTGTGTTGTGTTGATGTTGTGTTGATGTTGTGTTGATGTTGTGCAGTTCTCAGGCGGGGGGTGTTGTGTTGTGTTGATGTTGTGTTGTGTTGATGTTGTGTTAATGTTGTGTTGATGTTGTGTTGATGATGTGTTGATGTTGTGTTGATGTTGTGTTGTGTTGTGCAGTTCTCAGGCGGGGGGTGTTGTGTTGTGTTGATGTTGTGTTGTGTTGATGTTGTGTTAATGTTGTGTTGATGTTGTGTTGATGATGTGTTGATGTTGTGTTGATGTTGTGTTGTGTTGTGCAGTTCTCAGGCGGGGGGTGTTGTGTTGTGTTGATGTTGTGTTGTGTTGATGTTGTGTTGTGTTGATGTTGTGTTAATGTTGTGTTGATGTTGTGTTGATGATGTGTTGATGTTGTGTTGATGTTGTGTTGTGTTGTGCAGTTCTCAGGCGGGGGGTGTTGTGTTGTGTTGATGTTGTGTTGTGTTGATGTTGTGTTGTGTTGATGTTGTGTTAATGTTGTGTTGATGTTGTGTTGATGATGTGTTGATGTTGTGTTGATGTTGTGTTGTGTTGTGCAGTTCTCAGGCGGGGGGTGTTGTGTTGTGTTGATGTTGTGTTGTGTTGATGTTGTGTTAATGTTGTGTTGATGTTGTGTTGATGATGTGTTGATGTTGTGTTGATGTTGTGTTGTGTTGTGCAGTTCTCAGGGGGGCGGTGTCGGGGATCGAGTGCTGGCTCAGCTGCTCACAGAGATGGACGGCATCGAGCAACTCAAAGACGTCACGGTTCTCGCCGCAACCAACAGACCTGATATGATTGACAAG